AGCGGGGAATCGAAACACTCTATGATTTATGGAGTAATTTGTGTGTAAATTGCTACAGTTTAACAATACCGGTTGCAGTTCGGATGATTCATGGGGCCGGTACGAAACGCTTCAACGATTTAAATTTTAATAGCGGATCGTCGAACCGTGATATTTACATGACCTTTCGGTAATGTCAAATATTGTGCTCAACCCTCTACTAAATAACTTCGGTACACAAACGACCACTATTATTCGGGCCAAAATGCACTAAATCTATAGATCTGGTCGAGGACCAAAATGTCGCCCAACTATTTCGCCATAGTCGAATTCAATAAGCTATTATTAATAATGGCGACAGTTTCAAACTGAAAGCTTCTGCAGATTCATCGTATTATCGACAGTTCCTACACTTTTAGTCGGCGCATTAAGGGTAAGCTGTTGCAAATAGTTGAGTGACAATCGACTCTAAACAGCCACTATTTCGACGGACAATTTATAAAAATTAGTAAAAATATAATCGATAGAGGCCTAGTAGAATCGTACGCTTGGTATTTATTAATGAAATAATATAAAATTACGTGGTTTTTAATGTTATTAGATCTTTGATATTTATCGAGTACAACGCAAAAATAAATAATAATTAGATGTATCTTTGACACGTTAACTCCCACACTAGTTTTTCATATCCAAAGATGTCCTTATAGAAACATAGAAATATCCGATAATTCAATGGTGAATTTGTTATTTTGCAATATTTCAAATTAAAGTAGCGATATTTACAATTTTACAAGTTTTCCATTGCAAACAATATTGCAGCACGTTGTAAGTTCAAAGTGTCGATCACCGGTGACCACCGTGGCAATCCACGTGTTAATAAATATTAGGTGTGATAAAAAATTGTTTTTAAAATTGTTTATTTAAAATTTTCTGATGCTGTAACTTGTCTGATCGTGTTTTAGTTATAACTTTAACGCCTGAGCCAAATTATCATTATCGAAACGCGACATAGTTTAATCGAGTTGAGATTTTCGAATATTTCGGTGCGCTATAAATGATACCACCGCCAGCATTTAATTAAACTCCGGCATGATTTAATTTGATTTGCTGGACGAAACGTACGATCCGCTGGGAGTATCGTAGATAGTTAGGGAACAGATGCTAGCATATTCGGTTCATTTACCATGCGGTTAATGATATCCGTGGGGGACTAAGTTGCAGATCCCGATAGATTTACCTTTCAATGATTTGTGTGTGAGTTAATTGAAACTTATTAGCTCGCTATTAAGTAACATCCAGCCAATCGATTTCGCGTTAAAAAACCCTCCCTCCTCCACTGGGCGAGAAAATCTAACGTTTCTTGGTTTTTTGGCGGGAAAATCTGAGAAAAATCAACACTGGTTCAAAAGTTATAATTTTTCACGTACCATCCTACAAATATTTTTTCAACATTTTTCTATCGCTTTTATGAACTTCTTGAAGCTTCGAGGCTTTAAATTATTTATAAATAATATATAATAAAAATTTGTTGAATTTAGAAAATTTTCGAGAAAACTGGGTCCAAGAATGCGAAAAGAGTTGTTTTCTCCGTTAAAATATAGTGTAATTTTGTTCACAAAGTTGCAGAATCAACAATTTTTAGTCGACAAATTAGTTTAGATCCTTCGCTAATTGTAAGAATAAATGTGGCGAAACGAAGAATTTATTTCGAAAACTTTCCTGTATATTCAACAGATTTCAAGATAGAATTACGAGGAGGGGGTTAAACTTTGAAGGGTGGTTTGAACTCTTAAACTAGAGTTATCGGTGTTAAAGAAAAACGTATCCTTTATTTTTGGCTGCTCTAGAAACCTGGAAAGTTTCTTCAAAATTAGGGGACAGGGTACGCTTGGCAAATATTTCTTGATAGTCGATAAACTACGCCGAGACACTCACGAGGGAACGATAAGAACAAAACGAGCCCTCGTTGGATAAAAACTAACTTAAAATATAGAACTATGATAATATTTATTAAAATATTTAAGACGTCAAACTAACTTTTTCTTTTAAAAAATTTTATATTTTCTCTCTAGGGTCAATAATTTATATCGAATATTTCTTTATGACTACTAAAATTCTGGAAATAAGCGAAACATTTTAATAATGGAGAACCATTTTTGTTGCTTTCGTGGTTCCTCCGTTTTCTACGCAAAAGTTTTGCGAATTTCGAGCAACAAGCAACAAATTAGTGTTAATGTTATCACGGAGCAACGATGAAAACAGCTGTTCGAAGTTAATTCCGTATGAATTTCCGACGAATAACGGATAGAATTTGCTATCAACTTCGCGACGTAGAAATCTTTGCAAAGTAAATATCCTGCGTTTACCTTTCAATTCGCTCCCACTGACGCCTTGCTATGTTTGTGTGTCCACAAATATTTGCGGAGTAATGTTCGGTATCAATGCCGCGTGCATGTAACGTTGAGCATTTTATTACCGAAGATGTTAGTATTTCGCCGGGACCGTGCTTATGGCACGAAACCTAAAAGCGTACTGTTGAACCAAACCAAATGGAGCACACGTTTATAAATCGAACGTCTCTGCAAATAAAAAAAAGAAATAGCAATAACAAGTTACTTTATCTTCTCGAAATTTTCATATTCATGCTGACGACGTAGATATTTATAATTATTATATAATCAATTGCACGTTCGATTTAAATTAGATCAGATTTAATAATTTGCAGGTATATTTCCAATCAGCGTAATAATATTACCGAATCTCCCTTTTCCTTTGTATTTTTGACACGTATCTACATGCAACAATGAACTTTCATAATCATTATTATTAACTATAGTTCGTTTTCGAATTTTATTTAACTTCTATTTAATATGTTTATTAACAAACGAACTTGCCGAGTTTAATTAAATCGTAAAATCCCTATATTAACAATTCTCCAGTAACGAAGAGTCTAATCTTACATTTTTATTTGTTATTCACGAATAAAATTGTACATTCAGTCGTAAACTAGCTCTTGCCTAGGTAAAAAATTTATTAATAAATTGTACTTTAAGAAAGAATTTATAAATGATTCGCAATTAGTTTACGAATGAAACCCACATTTTTATTCGTAATTTACGAATAAAATTATACATTCATTCGTAAACTAACCCTTGCCTAGATAAAACATTTATTAATAAATTGTACTTTAAGAAAGAATTTATAAATGATTCGCAATTAATTTACGAATGAAACCCACATTTTTATTCGTAATTTACGAATAAAATTATACATTTATTCGTAAACTAACCCTTGCCTAGATAAAACATTTATTAATAAATTGTACTTTAACCAGTTAAGTGTGTTTGACGACTATATCCGTCATGCAGATGTGGCAGAATTTTGTGTCATGACGACTATATCCGTCATGCGTAAAATTTTGATACAATTTGATATTTAAATTGTAATTTTGGCGAAAACTAAATTATATTCGTAAATTTTAATATGTTTAAAATGTTTCGAGGTCAAGGCAAAATGAAACAAACAAATAAAAATTATAAATAATTAATATAAAAAAACCACATATACTACGAATTAGTTTTCGTAAATGTATCGTTGTCTTTTATTAGTCATCACAGAAGCAATTACGGATTCATATATTCATTATGCATTGTACTATGCTTCGCTCAACGCCATTCTCTAACAGCAAGTTAAAGTAAGAAATTGATTTTTCATGTTTTTTTTTCGTTCATATACAAAATATTTATGTTAATTTCAGTAAATAAATAAATGTGAGTAATGAAATGAAAAAAATAAAAGTCATTTTATTACAACCTAATTTCATATTACACATACTCTGTGTTTGACGTCTATACCCGTCATCGTTTGATTATCGCGACACACACTGGTGCGCGCTTTGCAAAAAGATCGCCACAGTTAACTGGTTAAGAAAGAATTTATAAATGATTCGCAATTAGTTTACGAATAACACCCACATTTTTATTCGTTATTCGAGAATAAAATTTGCACCGTACTCGAGGCTGGAATTCAGTACACGCGCGAACGGAATAGAATAGCTAGTCGAACGGTGAATGCTCGCTTTTCGGCTGCGTTCACACGCGAAATCTAACCACAAATCCTAGCCTAGAGTTCAGTGACACGCTGCAAGGTGTCTAAAGCGTACGCTCCGAAACCTTCGCGAAGTTTTCAAATTGGTTTTGGAGTTCGCACGAGACTTCTGCGTACATCTGTATAGCATCTCTAAACTGTTTAATTAAACTTTGCTTTTAATTATTTAAGATGTTCGTTGCTTCGAACGAGCCTCCACTTAATAACTAAATTATTTTTCGCTATGTCGGTCACCGGTGATCGTCACTTTCAGCTTCGTTTACAATGAAAAAACACTAAAATTTTTAGGTTATTTACACGTTGTTTGAAACAATCGTGTGATAGTTTATTCCAACAGCCAATTTTTCCTGTAAATTGTTTCGTTTAACGCTCTTGAGAGTAACGCGAAAATAAATGTCACCAGAATAGCTTGGTATTGCTTTCATGTTTTTATATAAAGGGAATCCTGCTTGTTTTAATAAACCAAACGTAGAAACAGGATATCGTGGAAGTAACGGAAAAAGAAATCAATCACAAAAACGATTATTTTTATTTATGTTTCGAGCTCAAAGTACTTCTCTTCTCTAACTGTCGTCAGGTAGATAAAATTGACCGAAAAAATAAATTTTTTAACGCGTTAATGTATCGTAAGCTTGAAAATATTAAAAAGAGAATTTACGATAAAACACAATAATGTTTTAAATAATAATTGCATCAAACTTAGTCAAAGTATCAACTTTACATCCGCCATGTTTGGATCCTCATGGCGAGTGATTAGCAATTCTTTCGCTGCACGTATGTTAATAAACAATGAAAGTAAAACTTCTGATTCGCCGAATGGCGGGGAAAAGTTAATTCTGAGGGCATTCGCTGGTTTTTGTCTGCCAGGGATCGAAGGATGAACGAAGGGATTGAATTTGAACGGTTCTACTCACCACATCGATGAGCTGCGATAGCTTGAGCTTAATGCACACGCGTAGTACGTCCGAGGTATTCACAACGGGGCGCACTAGTTTGTTGTAGTTAGATAGCAGGTCGTCGTAAAGGCGTTTTGCATCCGGATTGCCGGCGACAGCGCCGTGAACCACCAACGCCGAGAGGAACCATACGCGCAGTGTTTCCCCTATTATGGGGGGCATCATTGTCCCCTGACTCCTCCACTATGATTAACGCACACGCCCCCTTTGAACTCTCGCTCGACCACGCGAACCGCGAACCACGAATCTGGAAAATACACCAAACAAGATGTGAATTTAGTTTTCCATTTTTAAATAAACTCCTTAATGGATCTATGTACTTTGTTCGATCTGTTTCTAACTTAAACGACAACGAGTCTTTTATAAATTATCATGATTGCGTCTTACGGTTAGAACAGAATAAACTGAAACGTAGAACGGGAAGGAAAACAATTTATTTTCACCCCTTAAACTCGTTCCTAAAAGCACGTCTGTCAGACAGGAGTAAACAAATACAATATTATGTTTCGTCGTCAGAAATGTATATAAAACGGGCATAATACTCTGTACACTGTCGCAATTCGTAGAAAGGCGGATGTCGAATTGAAAACTGGAAGCGAAACCGCGATAAAACATTTGAAGACGGCGGAACGACGGAGATTAGTTCCGGGGATGTTTCAAGAGAATGGAATATTTTTTATAAAGGCGTTCGATTCACGTTGGAACGTTTCACGGATACCAGAAATTTAAAGGACAAAGCTGAGAGCCAGACCTAAAGCTTAAAGTTTAAAGAAAGGAGTAAATTATACGCAGTTTTTAAAAATAGCCAAGTGTTAAATAGTTATGGAAAAATAAACCGAGTGTCAATGATTGCTATAAAAAAGATTTGTAACATGATAAACATGATTAAAGAATTGTTAGCGTCTCGGCCAGAGCTTTCTTTTAAATAGGATTTTATATTCGAACGATCGAAAACAACCTAATTCTCTGATACTAAAGTGTCCATGCATTATCACGATTGCAGTGCTATTTCCGGGGATATGTATTCAAGCATACTTCGATACATTCCACGGATAGATCGCTGGTAGGCTTGTCATAACAGAGTAATCTGGAATCATGACAATTCGAATAATTGGTTCGAACTGACCGAATCGTATGCAGGGCTTGAGATTCCAAATCACGTTAACATTCGGGTATACAGCAACCAAAAGTTTAAATCAACTCGAAAGTACATAAAAACAAACATCTTGAGTAATGTTTTATAATAAAGACCGCAGTAAATAATTTATTTGCACTGTAAATGTTTCATAACAAAAAAACTATACGTCGAAAATATGACTTTGTTTTCGAGAAAAAGGTTTTTAAAATTTCATTAATCACACGTGCAATAGAGCACGATTTATTATATAGAAATCAGTGTGAGTAGAAATTACGATTAATGGTCAGACGGGCCAAATAAATTGCATCCAACCACCCAATATATTTTTTAAATTTATATGAATTTAAGTAGACAGGATACGTTAATGGCCAGACGAGCCAAATAACTCGTATTCAATCAACCAATATGCCTTTAAAATCTATTAAATGTATATCAGTTTAAGTAGAAATACTAAGTTAATGATCAGACGGTCGAAATAACTCGTATTCAATCAACCAATATGCTTTTAAAATCTATTAAATGTATATCAGTTTAAGTAGAAATACTAAGTTAATGATCAGACGGTCGAAATAAATCGTATTCAATCAACCAATACATATTTCTACAACTCTGTCGACGCTTAGCTGTATTTAAAATAATTTGTTTTCCACGACAGTTGTCACAATAGGTTTATTTGTTGTTCAGCGGCATCTTTTCGCTTCCATTTCTCTGAATCTTAAATTCGCCAGGTTTTTAACACCTCTTTTTTGCGCGAAACGCTGGCAGTAGCGCTCTGAAAATATTATTCTCATATTTTATGAGATAAACTGTGCTTGAATCTTCTAAATGGTGGGGGGGAAAAAAGCTTGGCAAGAATTGCCGGGATACTTTTCATCGAATTCTTGGTTTCTCAGAAAAAATAGCGACGTGACTGAATTATTTCCCATCCACGAATTCGAGCTTTCATTTATCCAAAACTATTTATCGTTAATTGTTTCAAACAGTCGTCGTTGCACAATATGAGATTTGAAAATTTCCACTGGGCACAGGAAATATATAAAACTCATTGATTAATTAAAAATATTAAATAACTATAGTTCTGGAGTAAAATACGAACAATTCTATATACATATGCAGAATGGGCCAAATAATGTTTCAAACGCTATTTTCTCCAAAACTACAGTCATCAATATTCAATTTTCAGTTTTTAATTGAATGGAGTGGAATAATTATTTAATACAAAACGAATTTTTCGGAGACAGCTACCGGGAGGACAATTTTTTTTAACTAAAACCTCGTATTAATTATTTTTCTATTTAGAAAACTCTTAATGACATTTTTTTCTTTATTCGATATAATTAAATTCTGTCATAAAATACTAATATTTTATATACATGTACAGAGTATTATTTTGATATTGGTTAACTATAGTCTTTTTTCTCTTTATTTATTACATGACTCTGGAATTTTTTCAAAATATCAAACAGCTGTTTTAAATTGATACCAGATACATCAACCTTTGATATTAATATTTTTTTACTTACAGTCTATTTTTTAAACGACCCTTACATTCTAACGAAAGTTTCATACAATTTTAAATAAAATAAATTTTGACAGGACTCGTGAAATTCCAAGAGTTTATAAAAATAAATTCCACGGCAAGTTTCGCGTTATCCAGTTCGCAGGTGATCCAAAAAACAAACCCTCGTCCTCTTGGAACATTTGTTTGCCAGTCAAAGTGGTAATAAATGCCTCGACAAGCTCGACGCGATAAGGTTTAACACAAGTGCTCGCCTTTCTGCCATGAATCAAGGACCAACGATTAACCAAGTACAGTCTCGACATCGAGCGTATTCTCGCGAGCTACGCGCAAAAGATATGTCACGGTTGCGAACGACACCCTGTTAAGGAGATCATTACCCAAATAGCCATAATAGGGGTAACCAAGTGAGGTTTCGAACACTAAACATTAAATAGCAGCGGCGTAATCGACTGGAAATTAATGGAAACTTGATGACGACAAGCATCGTCAAATTTAATTATGTTCCAGCGGTAGAAAGTTTATCGGTAAAGTAGCTAACCGTATTTAGAACGAAATCACGCGTTTCTAAAACCTAACGTACATACGTTAGTATTGTGAGACACTCGGAATATTTTTTTATATTTTCTGAGTACCAACTCTCAGCGCCTCCATTTTTTCTGATTTGGGATACTCTGCTCGTGTGTTAAATTTCAAAATTGACTTTTGTTAGACATAGCGAGCTTAATATTCGGAAATAGAATTCGTAATTCGTCAGGAAGAAACTGAAGTTTGGAAAGAAATGGGATTTGGAGGCTTCGTGTATTGCGTTGTGTGATAAGTAGACTGCGGATCTTTATGCAAATTCACATTTTTATTAATAGAATTAATGAAACGGAAGCTTCGCAGAGGGCTGTCTCAACTCCTAAATATAATAATTCGTATCTTACTTTAAGTATTTCTTATATTTTTGCATATTAAATGCATTCTGTAGTTTTTTGAGGATTAAAATTTCCCATAAATGCATAAACATTCGCAGTCTAGTGATAAGTAATTTTTAAAGAAAAGAGTAAACTGAAGAGTCGCAGAAGCTGTACGAATATAAAAACAAGACCAAAATGGAAGATTGGTCAAATTACAGTCGATTATTACTTGCCTGATCATAGAAAATAAACTGAAGAGTAAACTGAAGAATTGCAGAAGCTGTTCGAATATAAAAACAAGACCAAAATGGAAGATTGATAAAATTAGAGTCGATTATTATTTTCCTGACCATAGAGAAGATTATGAAAAGAGTGACGACTACAGTCAGAATCGGGATGGCGAACGAAAGGTGGTTGATTTATCAGGAATAGAGGGAAACGCGAGTGCAAGCGTCGCTATTAAAGGACAACGAAGCGATGCATCGTTTCCGAGCTCCGCATTCCGAATCGCCGAACGACTGATTGATTCGCGTATCTCGCGGAAGGCCATTAGAGGAAAGTACGCTGGAACTCGACGAGATAACCGCCGGATGTAAATTCAAGCCTATATCTGACAGCGTTTAATCCGATTTTCAACGATCGTTATGCAGGTTGTCTGATCAGTCCAGGTGAACCACTCGTCGGTGTTGGGATTAGGATTATCTCGATGGATTTCCCCACTTCGATATGAAGCTGGCGACTCGTACGTTTTCGATTCGCAAATTGCGTTGCGTAATGGCATCCCGCGTAAACAGAGGACTTTATTATCTCGATCGAGTAACATTAAACGTCGTAAATGTTCCCGACCTTTGCCAGCTAGCTGCTAGTTGTTTATCGATTCCTCCAACTCCGTACGAATCGTGGCGGATCGGCGATAAAATTTTCAAGATTGGCGACGTTTATTGGATACTTGTCCACCTCCATCATCCGAACTTCCCTCGTCCGAATGCTCCATTATCCAATCGTTCGAACGTTTCGTAATGAAACATATATTTGCGAAATAACAAACCCTCCACTGTTAAGCAGTTCTACTTAAAACACCGAATATGAATATCATAGAATTATAATCGAAATTGATACGATAAAAAAAAACTTGAATTTTTTATTACTAATTTCTTGTGAAAAGATAATAATTTTTTAGGTCAACATTTTCTACTGTAAATTGCACTTACAATGTTTATAGTATCTGATATATTTTTATTTATTATCAAAGGGACAATATAATCCCTTTGTTTTGACATTATTTGATATCTTCTAAAAGATTCTCAAAGTACTGTATTTAGAAATATACCTCCAAAATCGGATTTCCAATGTTTCCTGAACAAAAATTAAATTTTACATTTCTAGTATTTAGTTGTGATATTTTTCTTTTTTAATCCAATTTTGTTAAAATAGACGTTAAAAAAGACCTTTCAAAGAAGTAATACAAAGAAAGTCGAACGTGCTCAAAAGTGTGATTAATTTCGAAGCGTAGCATCTATTCGTCAACAACATCCGCGAAACGAATACGTTCGGGATTGAGCCGCGGCGTAAAGTACAGTTGCAATTAAAAACTCCGAAAGCGTACCATGAATAACATTACGAGTCCCTGTCGTGAAAAAGAGTG